ACTATTACTATTGACAATGTTGAGAGTTTTATGTTTGACGGTGATTTCAAATTTCTTTGAAGGCTAAATACAAATAAAAGGAGAACATTAATTTATTTGTAGTTTTTCTGAGGTTTTTATATTTTTTATATTGATATTGAATTATATCGTTATCGACTGAAATTAAGAAATATATGGTGATAAAAGTTTTGGACATATTGTCCAGTCCTATCACTACGGTTTCTTTTTGTTGAAACGTTTCGTCTTTCATCCAAAGGACTTCATCAGTCCGAGGAGTCGCAACAAACTCAGTCTTATACTAGTGGTTGACCCACTATGTGAAGGTGCTGCAGCTCCTCAGACTGATGAAGTCCTTTGGATGAAAGACGAAACGTTTCAACAAAAAGAAACCGTCCAGAGGACCTGACTGAACTTTGTTGGATTTTTTCATCTGGATCATTGAGCATGAACTTTGATGTTTCTCCGACTCATCCGCTCCAACAGGAGCCTGGTGAGATACGATGTGTTGCAGCTGCTGCTGCTGACTGCTTGGTGAAAGAATCCTGTAAATACAAGAAGTTCCAGCTGCAGCTTCAATAAGCTCCGTGTTTACAGCCATCGTCATGTACTTCGCTACGCCTCCACCTAGTTTATGATTTAATCTGCACCTCAGAAATGAAGATCAACAGATTGATGAATACTTGGAGACGTCTTTGACAACTTAGTGACTGTTTGGAGAAAACACTGTTGCTTTGACCGTCTTCAACAGATCTGTGCACGTCTGAGTGAGAATCCTGAGCACCTCTCAAGACGTCCAGGACACTCCAGGTTTGGTTTTCATCAAGGGTGCGGGCGTCTCAGGAGACAAGAAATTAGTTTTCATGTTTAAGACCCCAAACTGTAAAGATGACATCTTTTCACAACATTCAGTGATTAATTTCAATCGTTTATTCTTCCACAGAAAGAGTCCAGGTTTAGTAAGACAGCTCACATCTTAAAGAATTAATACGATCCTCAGCGCCCATCAATCACTGCCTCTGACGTGGTGACACGCACAATGCTTTCAGGGACGGGATGCTGTGGAAACTGTCATTTAAATTTAACTGTCATCAGCGTTAGCTCGTTACCAGCTACATGCAGCCGACAGCATCCAACCAGGAGCTAAAACCCACATCAGTTTGAGTTTGTAACCAACAGGACGGAGCCGCGGTGTTTCTCTGCTTCGTCTCTCAGAGATTCACGGCTGCAGATGTTTAGAATTTCATGTCCCAAATGGACAATGCGATGACAGGACCACCTCATAAAAACACCACCCACCCCACCTGGAACATGATACATAACTGCCGTTTCTTTTGGCACAAATTATTTAAACAAAAGCTCACGTGCATTACGGTGTTTTTTTTCTCCCCTCAGCTCAATTTATTCAGATTTATTCATTTTGAAACATAACTTATGTTGTCAAGTTTGTTGCAAAAGCACAAAAACCTGCTGTTGATTCAAGTGTTGCACACCACGTTCGTCCTGGTGTGTCTCACCCCAGCCCTCTGTCAAAACAGGGAACTGGGCCGCTCCGGACTCTGGTCTTACCCAGGAAGGACTGCGGTTGGGCTCGGGGGTGTTTGGTCCAGACAACTCACAGTCTAGATCCACAGGTCACACCTGGGCCATGTTAATCACTGCACTAAGTAAATCACTCCACTGCTCCCAAACAAAACAATTCATTCACATTTTTGTGAATAGATCCAACAGTTCACAGCTTATTTGTGTGAAATCGCTGAACAATGACACAAAAACGAATCTGCACACCACGGACGGTGAATCAGTTTAGGACCAAGTTGTTCTGACTCGTGTTGGCGGGGTGCCAATTCCACACATGGAAGATGGACCAGATCAGGTCAGATCCATCAGGTTCCCAGTTCAGGAAACAGAGAGAAGAAGAAGAGGAGGAGAAACGAGCAACAGATGAAGGTCTGCAGCTGCGTTATCTCTTGGAACATGAAAGCTGTTCTGTTATGCAGTCTATGGGTCTGTTGTAAAACAAGTTTACCGTATTTTCACACATTTGGAATAAATTTGCAAGTCATGTGACTTATACACCAAAGTGACTAATATACGTTTCCCCCTCGTATTTATAACCCAATTTTTGACTGACGTCTGACGCTTTCTTTCATTCTGGCATGGAAACTATTGAACACTACCATTTGTGGCCACTAGAGGCGCTAGAGTCCCTCTAGGCTTTTGGCAACTACCCGTAGGCGCATCTGTTGATTCCAGACCTGCTAAAACCCGCCGGCCGCTTCATTTTGCCATGTTTTGACCGTCAAAGTGCATTTATTAAGAAAAAGTTTGACTGAGACACACCTTTGCTATATTGTTGAGCAAACAAATAATTGTTTTTAAGTGTTAATCTTGTTAAATTATTGTTAAAGTCCTCCCGTACACGCTCACGCGGCTGCCATTTGGCAGCCAATTGATTTTTGGCACATCGGCCCACATTTCCGGGTTGTCAGCGGTGACGCACAACAGATGCGACTTAAACGGCGAAGTGATGTATTTATGTATTTTCCCACTTTATTAGACATATTTGGACTGATGCGACTTATACGGCGGAAAGTACGGTACTATTAATAACATAAGATGCTAACTGTTGTTAACGTTTAGCTGCTCAGGACGACATGTTTGTTTTTCAGCAGAAAATATTGACGATTGAAATTCTTCTAAAACTAAACTACTACATGGGAAAGTAATATTAGGCTACTATAATTAATAAAGGCAAGGATCCTGTGATGTAGCTTGGACCGTGTTAAACAGCCATTAACTGGAAGAGGTGTTGATGTGTCTCCTATTCTGAATATTTCACTAATTGGACAAACAGTACATTTGTTTTTGTCTTAATTGTTAGCCGTTTGCTCTTTCAGTATCAACCATACAACTGCTGAGCAGATTTCACGATGACATTATTGGTGGTTTTGCATCAAGGAAGACAAGAAGTGTCAATATTTAGGTGGCAGTTGTGCAGTTTAATCTCTATTTCTTGTTTGAAAAATAATAGCGTAGAGTTACTTATTTAAAGAAGGGTAAGACTTTACAAGACAGTTGTGCAGTTAAATATGTTTCTTAAAGTGCAATAGGGTAAATTGTCCTTTAAAAAAAGTTTCAGACCTTCTTTAACTGTTATGTAGAGCAAGTTGTTCGCCCAGGGCACCAAACAGGCTAGCACCGGCCCTGCCACAGACCCCTGATTCACTTTGCTTCAAAACTCCTCCGTTCCTCACAGCTGCAGTCAGGAATGTTTCCTTCAGCCCTGTCTGTAGAACAGTTTCATCTTTCTGAGTCTGTTTCTCTGCAGAATTTCACCAGAAGTCCACCACTGATGAACTCAGGTCTGAACAGAAGAACTAAAAAATAAATAATCGAGAGAAATTCAGAACTGAACCGAGGAGAAGCTGGGAGATATTCAGATCATGTTGGTGTCTGAGACTGAGGAGCCTTCAGGACGCACGGGGAAGTAGAGTTTCCTCATGAATCACGATGGTGCACGTCTCAACATTCATATTAATGCAGCTGCAGCCAACATCAATCATCGTCCGGCCGCTCTGCTCGCTGCATCATCATCCTCATCGTCGTCGGTGTGGAATCAAAGATCAAAGTCAAACAGCTTCACCTTTCATCCAAATGAAACGTAAGAAGCCTTTGATCACACGTTGCCTCACTTAATGATGTGGGGTTTCATGTTGCAGAAAGCTCGTTGTGTTTTGGGCCCTGGATTCTCTACAATCAGTGGACGGAGGGACGTTGTTTTATTCACACTTCAGACCCGAACATCCATCAATACATTCACATTTTCTAACAAAGTGGAGAGAGCATGCAGCTCTGGAAGATTCTTACGCTCTCACATTCAGAGCCCGACCAGAACCGCTGGAGTTTTGAGTCAAAATGCAGAAGCTCTCAAAGAGGCCCAGCTCTGAGCGAAAGGTTAAATCTGCTTCGCTTTGCAGATTTAGCTGAAGCTGACGCTGCTTTCCTTAGCCTGCGCTCTGAATGAAATGTGCACAGAACTTTAAATAAATAAAAGTTAATATTTATTCATCGGGTTTTAACGCCTGCATCACACACGTCAGAAACTGGATTTATACGTGTCACACACACGACGTGACATTCTACAGACGGGAACCGTACGTCACTGTTTTACTAATCAGCTTTTTCTTATTGTCCAGGAAAGTTTCTTTACTCAAGCGTGATTCTGCTTTGTTGTAAAATTATTAAACTGAAGCAGATTAAGAGAGTCGATTGACAGGTTTCTTATCTTTAGTTCAGAAAAAAGTTATTAAAAATTGTTGAGGACATTTTGCTGGGAGGAAATTCAGCTCCTCCGAAACATTTAAAATTCATGACTGTCTTCTATAAAACAACAAAACAAACAAACAAAAAAATTACTTTTGTAACAATCAGACTTAAAACCTCTTTCTGTCATCTATTTATTTACTTATACTTTAATTAGTAACATTTGGCACAAGATTTAATAATATCTGCTTACTGTTCTAATCATGATAAAACCAGAACCTTTTCTGCCAAGTTACTGGTTGCCATGGTGACTCCCACCATTTCTGTGGAGCAGAGGGCAGGGCTGACACATTTTGATCAGATGGGCAGATAGAAACTCACATTTGAAACTAAACCTCAAACATACTGTTGCTTGTGGGAACTAAGTTGTATCAAGCAGATTCTCAGACTGCAAGAAGCAAAAACATCTGGTGAATATGTGTTTTTTTTAATTAACAGTATTGAATGAACATTTAATCATACACTCAGCAAATGTTTCTAACACTTACACTTTAAGAATCTTTTTGATACAACCT